AGATGTGTCCTAAAACCATCAGCTTTGTTACTGAGCCACTCAGTTTCATCTCAACATGCCTTCATTTGTGTATGTGGAGCTTACTCAGAAATTTAATTTCTGTACCTGAACATACCTTGGTTTTATAGAGAAAAATGTTCTCCAAGTTGAGTGAGTCCCAGGATACTCAATATATTTTCAGATAAACCTGATCTCAATGTGTATATAATACAAGCACACTGTAATTATCTTTTGGAGGAACAAAAATATCTAATTAGGTTGGCAGGTATCCAGAATTGGTGCCTTCTGAATTGACCAGTGATAGTTAGTGGATCTGATGCATCTTGGGATGCTTAATTGGTATATGTGGACCCGTCGTAGTCCCAGAGATGATTATTGGCTTTGTTTTGATGTCTTTTAATTTCACATTTGTTTCAACTGCTCTACCAGACCCACCTTTTTATTTTTCTGCATCTGTTCCCAGAATGTTTCTGTTTAGCAGAGAAGCAATATCAATAAACCTACTGTATTAGTAAGTTTTTCAGAGAGCAAAATAGCTGGTCTATGGGCCAGAAATTGTTGGTGTGATTTTTTTTTTAGTTCTTTTAAAGTATATCTTGTAAGAGTTTATTTCCAATTTAAAAAATGTTTTGACTTTGAGTTAGCCACGAACTTGTGAACTCAGATAAAATCTTTATATCTGTACCAAGCTTTGAAATTTTCTAAGCATCTCCATACACATTGTCTCATTTAATGCACCAATAAGTACTACTTAGCTGTCATTAATTTTTTATAAGAAAAGCAACTGATCTTCAAGATTTCTGAAAAAGTTTTTTCAATAACTCTTGAAAATGTGATAGGACTTTCAAAATGTGTGAAGTAAATTATACTAGCATTTCTTTATTAGGTGCCCCAGACTCCTGGAGATATGCTGATATATTTTGTGTCATCTAAGAGATCTTTATGAGGATATTTAAATTTTGTGACTTATTTTGGTGATGATAAAGTAAACATGTTTCAGATGATCTGGATACGCACCTTATAACCAGATATTTGCATTCATGATCATGTTGGTACCAAGTGAGGGTTTAAAGTCACAATCTTTTGCTTTTAATATGGTATTTCTCACGGCAAGGTAGACAAAATTATTCTAGGGGATCTATCAGTTCTCACATTAACCAACCCTAAGCAAGGTATGACAGAGGCGGGGAAATTTAACACATGAGTATTTGCAGAAGACTTTTCTCCTTCCCTTTTTCTGAAAGAAGACTTTCTTGTTGTATGGATAGTTTGGGGGCTGTGACTTTCCTTGTGTGGATCAACATGGTGATAAAGAATTAAAAGGAACTTGAAATGATTTATTTCTACTTCAAAGAGCAGATAGCCTTATACCAAATTAAGAGAATAAATCCAAAAAGGAGTAGGATCAAGTGGGTAGAAGAGATTGAGAGAGAGAGAGACCAGAACAGGAAGATAGATTCTGTCTAGCATTTAAGAGAAAGAAAAGGGAATAGAGGACTTTAACAAGTGGTCTGTGTATTATGAATAAAAACTACTTTGGCATTTTTTAAATTATGTTTTTATTGATTTTTTTTAAGAGAGAGGAAGGAAGAGGGAGAGAGAGAAAAAAAACCTCACCCATGTGAGAGAGAAACATCTCTCAGTTCCTCATGCACATGCTGCGACGGGCACCTAGCCTACAAACTGGGTATGTGCACTGACCTGACTTTCAGTGCATGTTGTTTTATTTTGAGACTCACCAATTGCCCCAGGCATCTACTTTGTGTTTGTTTGTTTGTTAATTTTAACACGTTGGGATATTTGCATTTTATTTTATTTATTTATTTTAAAATCTTTATTATTGAGAATATTACAGATGTTGCCCCCTTTTTCCCTCCATTGCCCTCCTCTACCTGGATCCCACCCTGCCCCAGGCCTTCACCACCCTATTGTCTGTGCCCATGGGTTATGCATGTATGCATGTAAGTTATTTGATTAATCTCTTCTCACTTGCCCCTCCCCCTTCCCTCTGAGATTTGTCCGTCTGTTCCATGTTTCTAGGCCTCTGGTTCTATTTTATTCATCAGTTTATTTTGTTCATTAGATTCCTTATTAATTTATTTTGATTTTTCGATTCAACTCTTGATAGATATGTATTTATTGCCATTTTACTGTTCATAATTTTTGTCTTTTCTTCTTCTCCTTCTTTAAGAAGACCCTTTAACATTTCATGTAATACTGGTGACAGGGAACTGTTTTAAAGACTAAGTAGCTTTGCAATTGCTTTGGATTTTAGACTGGTGTCTGATTTGTTTTGTTTGTTTTATTTTATTTTGTTGTTGTTTTTGTTAATCCTCACCTGAGGATATTTTTCCATTGATTTTTAGGGAAAGTGGAAGAGAGAGGGTGAGACAGAGAAACATCGATGTGAGAGAAACACATCGATTGGTTGCCTTCTGCATGAGCCCTGACCAGGGCCTGGGCCGGGGAGGAGCCTGCAACTGAAGTACATGCCCTTGACCAGAATCAAACCCTGGACCCTTCAGTCCACAGGCCAATGCTCTATCCACTGAGCCAAACCAGCTAGGGTGCTAACAGATTATTTTATTAGTTAACTTTAGTTTTCTGTGAGTGTCAGAAAATTGAAAATATAAGTGATTTAAAGCAGATATACAGTTATCTATCTATACTAATAAAAGCCTAGGTGGCCCTCACGCCTTTGCACAACACCCTCATGTCATCACAAGATGGCCACCACAAGATGGCCGGCAGGG